CTTTCAAGAAACTAAATTCTGACCATCTCACCTCCATCATTATCAGGCTGTTACCCTCGGCCTCAAGAAGAGGGAGGCCCCATGGTGCCCAGGAAGTAGGGCAGGGCCTTGGATCTCCACTCTGTCCTGGCCACTGCGGAGGCCCTCGTGCTCTGAGTTGCGTGTCCCTGTCGTCCTGTGGCCTCCTACTCCGCTGGGCATGAGGCTGGACTAGGTGCAGGATTGGCCTCCCAGAAATGCTGAGGCCTGGTCACACACCCGAGTCTGGGCCTGTCTTACCCACCTTCCTTCTCAGTCTGTCCCATCCTCCTTGGAGTCTTGTCCCTCGAAGGCCCTCCAGGCCCCCTTACAGCATCTTGTCTGAGATGACAAGAGAGAGCTTTGGATCTGGAGCCATTTCTACTATAGCCCCCAAACCCCTGGGTAAAAGGATGCAAAGGCCTGGTCAGCAGGGGAATACCAGTATAATATCTATAAAAATCCTGCTGCGCAGAACCCCCTCAGATGGTGGGTAGATAGTAAGTGGTCCGTGAAGCTGTCTGTGTCAGACATCTTAGGCTGCTGTGAAGACAACTTAAACACACAGAAGGTGGCTGCCCAGTGCTGGCCCACAGAAAGGGCTTCCAATCCCCTGCACTCACATCCTTTGATCCTTGCAATCCCACAAAGCAGGCACTGTAGATGATGTAGGAGAGGCCCAGAGAGGGTAAGAGCCTTGGGGAAGGTTACACAGCAAAGCAGGGTGAGCACTCGTCCCCTGCCTGGAGGCCTCTATCACCAGGAGAGAGGGTGAGGCAGGCACATCCCCCAGGGTATCTGGTTGCCAGCCTTATAGGCAATGCCGGTCCTAATGCGAGTTAAAATTAGAACTAACTGGAGAAGTATTTTTATTACAGGGTTGAGCATGTGGACAGCAGAGGAGCCCAGCATCACAAGAGCAGCCACAGGGCTAGCAAGGAACAGCATCCCTCCTCTTGTGCAAGAGACTGTGTGCTGGCCAGAAACTGAGGACAGTGGAAGCGGCAGGGCAACAATACCTTGGAAGCAAGCAGAGAGAGACTTTTCTTCTTGACCAAAAGTCCAGAGAGTCAGGCTCTGAATATGAGCAAGGACATCTAGGCTCTCACTCTGGGCCTTAGTGTACCTGTCTCGGAAGTGGGTACAATGGCCACAGGAGGGCTGTGAAACTCAAACACCCTTCTTTCCTGCCATTAAAGAACCTTTGCCAGAACAAGATTGCTATGGTCCAAATGCTTCCTCTGGAAATTCATAGGTTGAAATCCTAACCCCCAAGGTAATGGTATTAGGAGGTGGGACTTTGGGGAGGCGATTAAGTCCTGAGTGTGGAGCCCTCATGGGTGGGATTAGTGCCCTTATAAAAGAGACCCCAGAGAGCTCTCTTCCACCATGTGAGGACACAGTGAGAAGACAGCTGTCTATGAACCAGGAAGCAGGCTCTCAGCAGACACTGAATCTGCCACCACCTAGATCTTAGACTTCCCAGCCTCCAGAACTGTGAAACATAAATGTCTTGTTTATAAGCCACCCAGTCCATGGTATTGTACTGTAGCAGCCTGAATGGACCCACATAAAGGTGCTCCCACTCTCCATCCAACAAACTTCAGGAGGAGGGGGAACAGTAAAGTTTCCTCAAGTAAAGTTTCCCGGCCTCCTCAGCTCCTCCAAGCTGTGGCTTAGCCCCAGGGAAACCTAGTACAGGTGGCGGAGATCTTTAAGAATGCCTGTGACACTCACAGGGAGACACATGTCAGGGGAACTCTTCACTTCACAGAAAAGGTGCTTCCTTCACAGAAAGAGATGGCCTTCGATTCCCTGCATCAGGAGCTTCCCTCCCATGTCCTGGATGCGGGGAGGCCGGAGTTGCGGCAGGGGAAGTGTACACAGACAGCCCAGCTGCTGCCCTGCTCTGGGGGGACTTCTTTACCTGTAAGGTGAGGGGTTGGAGGGAGTTTTCTCAAGGACTCAGGTAGTGTCAGGAGGCTTGAAGCAAGAGGTTTAGGAAACCCAGGGGAAGCGGTCAGTGAGAAATGGAAACTGTGGTTCTCAGGTGGACCTGGATTGCCAACACTTCTCAGGGACACTGGGGCTGCTGGGAGGAGGAGGACACCCTATGTCACACCTGGCCGCTGGTGTGGGCTGGGGTTCAGGACCCCTTAAACCTCCAGGTCCTCCTCCCACAGGGCATGACAGCTGAAGCCGGGAGGAGGCCAGTGGGGGGAATCTGTCCTGGGCAGGAGTCTGGCACACCATCATGGTCTCGCCTCCATGATTCTTGCTCCTGGTTGCAGGGGGTGAGCGTGGGCAGGGGTGTGGGGTAGGGAGAACATCACCCTATTTTTCTGAAAAGGAAGGCAAAGCCCCCTTCAATAGCCCCGCAGCCTCTACCTCTCCCCTGCAGTCTTCACCCACACTGATGCCTACGTGATCCTTCTGGAACATGGTCTTCATCGTGGTGCTCCCTCACTCACCCACCTTCAGCAGTTCCCCACCACCTCTGCCAATTCCCCAGACCTGGCTGACAATTGAAACTTCCTGAGGCCCCTGTTAAGCAGACAGAGACCCCAGCCCCTGCCTGACAGCCTTCAGAGTCCACCAGTCTCTCTCAGGGATTTCTCCAAGTTTCTCTCATTTGATGGCCAAGCCAACTGATGCTCAGAGAGGCTAAACAACTTGCCAGAGGTCACACAGCAGGAGGACTTGAAATTCAAATCCAGTTCTGGTGGCATGGCTAGAGCTCAGGCCCTACCTACAGAGGGGCCACGATGCTAGGACGGAAGCTTCAGGAAGCTCTGTCTCTCAGGTGGGGAGAGCCTGGGCCCTGTGTGTGGGGGGAAAGGCAGGTCAGGAAGGAGGAGGTTGGAATGGGGAGCTCTGAAGGCAGCACGGTGTGGTGGGCAGAGTCCGGACCATGAATGCAGAGGCCTGGGGCCCAGCCACCTCTGCTGTGCCTCAGCTGCCTCCTGTGGGAAACGGATGATAGCCCCCGGCCCAGGTGCACAGGTTCCCGAGGGAGTGTGAGTACACAGTAGGTGCTGCAGAGCCCAGCCCCGAGCTGGGGGCACAGCAGGTGTTTATTCCACACTGGTTGCCTTTGCACAGGATCCAGGGGCTCAGGGCTGTGCGTGCAGCCTTCGGGCCCAAATCCACCCCCCAGCTGCAGCCCACGGTGAGGCTTTGCAGGCCCAGTAAACAACCCCTCACCGCCCTCACCAAAAGGAAACTTTTTTTTAAAGCAACAGAAACCAACATCTCTGCAGGCTGCCTGTGTTGGTAACGGAAGAGGAGCTTCTGAGAGGAAAGGGCTACAGGGGTTGGGGGCGGAGGCCAGGCAGAGGCAGCAGAGCGGAGGAGAGAACCAAGATCTGATAAGGAGCTCTGCTCTTCGGGGCCTGGGGGCTGGGGGGAAGGGAGGCTGGGGTGCAGTGGGGGAGGGAGGCTCAGCCCCTCCTCAGCCCTGCAAGCACGGAGCTGGGAGGTGGGGTCTGAGATGGCCTGGGGAGTGGCACTCAGGCCACAGGACTACAAATCTCAGCCATTCTCCCCTCCCTTGGGTCAAAGCCCTTTCCCTGGATGCAGGAACCAACCAGAGGCTCAAGGGCTGGCGGTCCCTTAGTCTGGCTCTGTAGCCACTCACCCATGGCCTTGGGCCAATCTCTTGGACACCCAAGGGGTCTCAGTGTCCCCCTCCCCCAAAAGAAGGTACTGACTGTCTATAGCGACAGCATCAGGACATGGTACCAGCCATGGGGAATCAGGAGGTTCAGGGTCTGAGCTTGCTATTAGGCCCTGAGCAAGCAGCCCTAGCTAGGGTGATGGAGACTGTCCCAATTTAGCAATGAAAGTCTGCATCCCAGGAAACCCCTTGGTCCTAGGGAAGATGTTGGTCACCCTTTGCCCCTCTGGGCTGGGATTTCCTCTGCTGAGACTAGAGGACTTTCCCAGCTCCCGGCATGGCCCTCCCCATGACTGAGGACTAGGCCTGCCCTCTTACACAGACTCACAGACTGACCGCAGAGACTGGATGTGAACCTGTGCCAAGGAACCCAGGCACAGGCAGGCAGGGTGAGCAGGTATCAGAACCCGAGGGCGAGCGCATCCAGGGAGGCTTGGTGTGGCATGGGCTTCACGGAGGAGCCATCCAAGCAGAGCAGAACAGGGAAGGGCACTCCAGTGGGGGTAACAGCTTCCCCAAGGCTGAGCGGCCACATGCTGCACTAAGCATTGCGCAGCACCCTGTACTGAGTGCTGGCCTAGGTGGTAGGGCCCCAGCTGGCCCTCAGGGGCCACACAGTTGAATTTCTAAATGTACGGCCTCCCCTCTCTGAATTCCCCCGGCTGTATCCACCGCCAAATGATTTGCATAAAAGCAAACACATAAAAAAGAAAACCGGCAACAGACAACAAAAGTTTGTCTTTTTTTTTTTCAGTGAAGATGGGCTTTTCACAGAAATTAAAAGCACCCACCGGAGCTCTGGATGCGTATGCCCACGCCCCGCATGCTAACCTGACTCCCTGTGCAGCCCACCCAGCAGAGGCAGACCCCCTAGAGAGACTGGAGGCTGAGTGGAGAGGGCCTGCCTCGAACACCCACACCCCAGAGCACAGGGTGGCTCCACCTGGCCCGGCCCAGCTGCCAAACCCACCCCCTCAAAACATCTCACCAACAGCTTCAGGGATAGCAGGGAAGTCACGAGCCCATCCTAGTTTCTTGTGCCCAAGAGCCCCCCCACTTCCTAGCTGAGCTGCCGTGAACAAGTCACTTACCCTCTCTGAGCTTCAGTTACCTCATCTGCTAGAGGAGGGCAATAAGACATGCCGAGGGTGGAGGAGGGAGGGCATCTGGTGCACGTGCCAAGTTCAGCGGGGAGAGGGCTTCCAGGAAGCCCAGCAAAGGCATCTCTGACCCTCCTCGGAAACCGCAACCCCCATCCCCTAGAAGGGCAGCGAGAGGCAGGAAGAACAGTGAGTCCCACTCTTACCTGCTAGGCTGAAAGCTTGGGCCCGGTCCTGTCCAGAACTCTCTGCTGGGAGGAGGGAAGGGCCGCGGGCCATGAGGGCAGAAGCGCTAGAAGTAAATGCTATCGCTGTTCCCATGGCTGCCTCAGCTGGTCTGAGGCCTCAGTGAGGGCCAGGGCTGAATCTGCCCTTCCTCTCACCCCAAGCATTTGCTGAGCGCTTCTGACCTCTCACCGGGCCAAGTCACATGATTCTCCCCCCCAACCCCCCAAACCACGCTGTGTGAGTTACATACCCCGTGGTTCCCTCTCAGTGACCCTATCCCGAAGGCCTTGGTGCTCACGTTTCTTTAATCAGTCAACTGAGGCTCCGAGAGGCAGGGACTTGCCCAGTATAAAGCAGAGCAACTTCGGAACCGAGTCTGACAAGAAATCAAGGTACTTTCCACTGCAGGCGAAGGTCCCAAAGCAAAAGGCCCTGGCAGGAAAGGGGCCCTCGGGAGCCACCAAGGTTCCTGAGCAGAGGAGTGGCGTGATCAGGGGGGCCCGTGGGAAGTTGGACTGAGGGCCCTGAGCCCGGAGCCAGCGAGACCAGCACGGAGGCTACAGTAAAGGTGCAGGCAACTGGGGGAGCCGAGGGAAGTGTGGGTGCGAGGGACGCTGGGAGGGCAGACCGCTGTGGCTCTCAGCCTCTGGGGACTCAGGGTCGGGAGGAGGAGGCACAGAGGGGGAGCGGGTGGGGTGGGGAGGACATCTAGAGTGTGCTTACAGCACTCCCCGCTCGGCACTGCCTTCCATCTTCCAGCTCGCCACGCAGCGGGCGCAGCAGGGTCATCACCTCACCTCCCAGGCCAGGGGCAGCCGGGGCTGGGCTCCCCCAGTGCCACTTGGCCAGTGCGGGGCTGTCGCCACTCCCTACCACACACCGGCTCCTGCACCCACCTCTTTTTCCAGGCTGATTCCCCAGGCCAGATGGATGAACAGCGTAATAAAGGGGGCAATCACATCATTCCTGAATGCATTTTAATAAAAATCAAATAAAAGCAATTATGTGAATTTTCAAAAGGATCACCTCTGCTCCTTCCCCTGAGGTAGGAAACAGAATGAATTCAGGAAATCATTAAAATCAGAAACCCAAGCGGCTTGCCACCACCCCGCTGGCGGCTGTCACACAAAGGCAACAGGGAAACCCAGTCCCCTGCGGCAGAGCGGGTGCCTTTCTTTTAGCTCTTTGAGTGGAAATTCCACCTATGGGTGAAGAAGGGTAATTAAGGGCCAGGAGAGATGCTTTGAATCCAGGCTGCCTTTGCCCCTCCAGTACAAACTTCCCAGCTTCAAAGGGGCCTCAGACTCCCCAAGGGAGAGCTCTCCAACCAGGCAGCTCAGGGGCCTGCGGGGAGGGCAGGCACAGGGCTCGGAGAGGGTCCCCAAATGAACACGCTCTCCCCTCTGTGAGGGACGTGCAGCTCTCAGCCCAGCTGGGGGCCAGAAGGAAGAGGTCCCACCCAGGGGCCTGTTCCCCACCCCAGCATCCCCAAAGTGGGCATTTGCAAGGCCCTTCCCATCTGATCGGTCTCTCTAGCCCCTCAAACTGGTGTGTTCATTCGGGGCTGAGGAGGGTGAGGCCCCCAAGTTCACCCAGCTGGTGAGGCAGCACCAAGACAGAGCTTGGTTCTCCGGAGGCCAGACCCAAGTCCTGTGGACCAGGCAGTCTGGACACAGTGCAGCCTGGCCTTGCAGGGCCACTTACAAGAACAAGCGCTGACCACGTGTCGGCCATCTCCTGGGCACTGGCCTGGGCCACCATCCCCAAACACCTGGAAGTGAGCGTGTTCCTCCTCTTGGTACAGGTTCAGGACTGTGCTCCAGCCAGGTGAAGCGGCCTGCCCGCAACCCTGCAGCTAGAAGCGAGGAATCCAGGGTGTGCGCAGGGCCATCAGAGGCAGTTCCTGATTGCCAGGCCGCAGGGCATCCTCATCACAGGAAAGAGGCCTTCACGCAGGGCCTTCCGGGTTGCATTTGGGCGTTAAGGGGAGGAAAGGCAGGGATTTTCCCTTCCTCTGGCCTCCATATTCACACTGGGTAACCCACGTCCCCCTCCCACCTGAACAACAGGCTAAAGGAGCACCTAACCACCCCCAAGGTCATCTCCCTCAGCCACTGGGTCCTGGTTCTCAGATGGAGGCAAGCCGGAAGCCTGGCAGCCATAGGTCCCCTTTAGGGCAGCCTGAGTTAAAGGAGCAAACAGGGCTGGGAGGCAGAGGGCCAGCACTGGTTGTGCGTGACCTTAGGCTACTGCCATCGCCTCTCTGCATGTGCATGCGTGCGTGCGTGTATGCACATGTGTATTTGTGTGTGCACATGCATGCATGTGTGTGTGAGTGTTGGGGGTGGGGCAGTGCCGGGTCCCCAGTTCAGACCTTTGGCCCTGTTCCACACTGTCCTGTCTGACTCAGCTCAGAGCTACCCTTAGTCCCCGCTGCTGCTAACAGTTATGGCGCCCTCCTACAGGACGCTCTGGGAAATGTCACTCAGAAAGTGTGGTTTCCAACAAGGGGAAAGCAGAGTGACTGGGAGGATTCTGGGCAGCCCCTCCCAAAACCAGGTTTCCCTGGGAAGTAGGGGTTTCTGGCAGGCCCTGTACCATCCAGCACCCAGGACTGGGAATTGAGCACAGAGCTTCTGGTCTCGTCCACCTGTCTCCACTGGTTCCCCTGCCTGGCCTCTGAACTTCAGGGGCTTCTAAAGGGAAGAGGAGACAGTGGCATCTGGCTTCTAGGGCTAGTGCATAAGGGAGAGCAGGACGGGTAGCTGGTGTGCAACCCCCCTGTCATTTCTGTCCTCTCAGGGGCCAGCTGCCCCCTACTCTGCTCTGTCCAGCCCCTCGGGTCTTGCACACCGCAGGCACTCCATAAACGTGTGCGGTGTGGTGCTCAGAGGGAAGACAGGCTTGTGCAGGAGGGGGAGTTGAAAACAGGAAAAGGAAGTGCCCCTGCTTGTTTCCTCGCGGCCTGTGGACTTGGGACTACGTGTATGCACACGTGTGTAAGCACGTGTGTGAACGTATGTACTCCTGTGACCACACCCACCAGCTGACGTACCCACTGGCTTGCACACATGTCTTGCACACACCCGTCAACACAGCAGATGGGTAAACAGCGGCCCCAAGCCTCAGACAGTCTCCTCCCAGCCTTGCATCCAAATCCCCCATCAAGACGGGCCTTGGAGCAAACTGGCTAGGACCTTGGAGGTCCAGGCCATGGGGTCCAACAGGGACATCCATCTGCTGTCACCTTCACCCAGATTCTATCCTGGTCACTCTGGGAACATCTGCCCAGGTCTGACACCGGCTATGCCTGGGATCTGGGGATAAAGGCTGCTCTTGGGAGCTACTAGAATATCTGCCCTGGGATAAGGGCTGACAGAGGGATGTCCAAGGACTCTGAAAGGGTAGAGGAGGGCACATCCAACTCTGCTGGGGGCTGAGGGGATGGGGATCACAGGGAAGACCTCCCAGCAAATGGAACCTTGGAGTGGGACCTAGAAGGAACTGGGTTTCCTGAGCAGACTAGGTGGGCAGGACATTCCAGGTGGAGGGAAGAGCTTATGCAAAGGCGTACTGGCATGCCTTGTTCGGAGAATGCCCAGCTGCCCGGGTACTTGTCCTGCTTCTGCTGGCTGGCTGCACCAGGAAGAAGTGTCCTTTTCAGAGCACTCTCGGGAGGGAGAGAGCAAAATGGGGCACCACACTGCAAATAGACCCAGAGCCAGGAGCTACTGCAGAAGGCAGCTCCTGAAGGAAAGAGACACATGGGTGTCAGTGGCCCCCAAAACTCCTCCTCTTTCCCTTTAAAGAAGTCACTTCCCCTGCGAATGCAGCATACGTATAATTCAATGTCTCAAAAGTGCAGTTAGCCCAGGGGTCCCATACCTGTGCTAAAACCATGTGTCAAAGCGAGGAAGGGAGCAATGGATGAACGTCAGGTAGTGGTTCCCTCTGGGAAGCGAGGGGCTGGGAGGGGCAGATCCTCACTGGTGTCTGTCATGCTCTTAAGTGCAGGGGTCATGAGGGTTCATTTAATGTGCTTCATGGCTTACAAATAGTCTTTTATATATATGAAATATAATGTAATAAAAGTTTTAATTGTGTTTATGCCCAAGTTTACAAGGCTGTCCCAAGGCCTGGCTGGATGAGACGCCTCTGTGTGATTATGCTTGGCATCTTCACAGGTACCTTATCTCCGACTCTAGGGCAGTGTAGGGGCTGGACTCTTGTCCCAGCTCCACTGCGTCCATAAAAGATTCCAGTCATTTCCAGATGTAGCTAGGAAGGTAGGAGATAAATGCCCAGCCAACTACCTCTGTGGACTTTGTCCTTCCCCTCCTCTCTGGGTTTCAGTGTCCTCTCTGTACAGTGAGGGACTCTGCCCAGCTTGTGTCCTGGGTTTGAATCCGGATGTCACCACTGCAACAGTTACATGGAGCAGTTTCCTTACCTGGAAAGTGGGACCATGACAAAGCTGCTGTGAGGAATGAACAGAATGATGCTTTAAGACACAGCTCCTGGCATGTAGTGACTACTCCATAAATATCGTTGTTTGTTTGTTTTTTGGGTTTTGTTTTGGGCGGGGGTTAGTCACCAGAATAAACAAAGACCCTCACTGGAAACAGGGCGAGATTGGAGACTGGAAAACCTGTGCTCCGGGTCTGGACCCACCACTCACTGGCCCAGAAGCCTCTGGAGTCCTTTCACCCTGGGCCGCACTCTGCTCCTGTGTAAAATGGGAACCCCAGGGCCCCTTCAGAAGAGGAGAGAAAATGAGAAAGTTCTGGCAAAAGAGAGTGCATTGTGAATGCCAGGGTCAGTAACCAGAGCTCTAATCCCCAAGACCCCTCCCCAGAGGAGAAACCCCAGTCTGCCACGTTGGGGATGCGCCCGGGGCTTCACCCAGGCAGCCCTAATCTCGGGCCAGCCCAGCACCGGCTCCCCGCTCAGAGTTAGGGGCCTGGGCTGGATCAAAGGCGGAGGGAATTAGCATCACAGAGAGCCCGGGGGAGGGGAGGCCAGGATTAATTCACTCTCCTCTTCCTGCTGTTTTTCCAGCAGCTTGTGGAGTTGGGGGAAGGGTAACCATCCACCCCCAAGCCCCAACCGCACCCCCAGGC